CTCCAATCTGTTGATTATTACCAAATGCGTTTAAGTACGCTATACCAGATGGTATCGAGAATCATTTGTATTTCGAAAAGTAGACTGATATGAAGGATTGAGAGATGAGGGGGTGGTGGAAGTTATCGAATATAATATTCAGTATTGACCAAAAGAGATGAAATACCATGAGAGAAAAGAGAGGTGAAAGTGTTGTGTACATTATGTAGGAGATGAACCCAATGATCTAGGGACAGATGGATGTTTGGTAAGATTTGAAGGAATTACAATGAATTACATATGTTTTATTGGACTGCTAACTATGGAAAGGAGTGTCACAGATGTGATTAGTGTAAGATTGTGTTATTTAATGGGTGTACTGGTGTATTGAGGACTGAGTGAAGGTGCGTGGAGTGGGATGAAGTGATAGATTAACCCAATGACTGTGTGATAGGAAAAATGTCTGAAGATGGTGGATGAAGATAGTGGGTGTGAACAAAGTTATATAGGTAAAGGAAGAAATCTGTGAAAATTGAAACTTGCTTGTGGGGAACTTTAAGGTTTGTGATGGTGGGTGGGTGGAAGGAAGTTGTTGGAGGAGATTCTTGTGATTGTAATGGTAGCTTGGGGACATGAAGTCTGGCTTAATTTAGAAATTAAAGTAAATCATTGGTTGGAAATTGTATGTGGTATGTGTGGGGTCCTGGTGTTGTTTGTGGGTGCTCATCGGCGGCAGACAATGATGAGCGCGGTGTTGAATGTTCGATTGACGAACTGCGCGGACGAGTTCATCAATTCTAAGTTAGGCGATTTCTGACCTATCCTGAAAATTTTATGACAATCCGTCCATAATTTTTCAGTTAGGCTGTATACACAAACCCACAAACCAACAAACACTCGCCGGTGAAAACATAACCTCTTGCCAACCCCTTGGCGGAGGTAAGAAAACCGCTTATTCAGTGGCGGATCAAGGGGGGGGCGCAAGAGGCGTGCACCCCCCTATTTTGTGCCCCCCCCCCCTATTCAGCATCAAGCGTGTGCACCAGCGCTATCACAAAATCCGCACCCCGTAAAATAAAATCCTGACTATGCGGTTTCGCCCCTTCCCCTATTTCAAAATCCTGGATCTGCCACTGCCTTATTTAACCAAAAACCTGCCTCGTCTGACTACGCATGCATCTCTGGATACTACTGCCGACAGTCCACCTGTATTCACACATTTAAAGTGATTACGTCACCCTTCCAACTGTTCCAAATTTCCACTTCTTCACAAAATGTAAGTGATTCTGTTCACTTTTTATCGTTAAATTGCTGCATTATACTTCCTATTTTGCTATATCGTTCGATGTAAACAAACACTTGTGACTCATACATAGGCTAGTCAATCGCAAGCATTTAATGTCGTGAACAATATATCAAATCGCCCAGATTTTTTTGGATTTTTAACTAGTTGAGAAACAATCCTATCAGGTAAGAATTTGAGGATACATTTAGTGCCGTTAGTACTTCCTTTTCATGTAAAAAAATTGCAACAATTTTTGTTTACAAATTTACACCAAAGACAATTCGTGACGTATGCAATTTAAAACGAATGCACAGGTAGGTGGGTCAAAACAGGAAAAACGTGACACCACTGTCCGAAACAACAATCGCCTCATTCCTCCGGTGCAGGGATTATTCGAAGACAAGTCCATCTTCCAACTCAGCCTCCCACATCCAGATCTGGGGCTTCCGGGATTTCTTCACTCATACAAGCCTGATGTCATATGAGTGTATGTCACTGGAGTCTACAGCTGGAGAGAGTGCATCCGTATCCACATGTTTAACGTCTGACGAATTAGCTGTTTAACCCGCAGACCCGTCCATTACATAACTCCCGATTGCTTGTACATGGCCTTTCTTCGGTGCGACTGCGTGCGCTTCTGTTTCGAGAGCTCGCTCGAGAATACGAACCTGAAAGATCAAATGTCACACGCGTACGGTTTCTCTCCCGTGTGCGTGCACGCGTGCCTCTTCAGGCTGTAGCGGGAGCAAGTCCTGTACTCGCACGCATCGCACGCGTAAGGTTTCTCTCCCGTGTGCGTTCGCATGTGCTTTTTCAGGTTGTGGCGGAAGCAAGTCCTGTACTTGCACGCATCACACGCGTACGGTTTCTGCCCCGTGTGCGTGAGAAAGTGCTTCTTGAGGTGCCCGGAGCAGGTGTAGGCGGAGCCGCATATGTCGCACGCGTACGGTTTCTCTCCCGTGTGCGTGCGTGCGTGGCTCTGGAGAGTCGCCGGCCGCGAACACCTAGTGTCGCAAGATCACTGTGTGAGATGGATCCTACTCTTAATTGTTGGGTTACATTATTGTATCTACTCCTCGGGGCACTATATGTCGCTGCGTGCCCTGCATTGTTCCACCGTACCCTGACTTTTAGCCCTTCGTTTTCGCAAAGCTAGCTCTTCGTTTAAAAAAAAAGTAAAAAGTAAAATAAAGTCAAACATATAGCATACATTTTTATTGGATTGCGATGTTTTGAGGTTTCTTTTATGTGATGTGGTAACTTGACACAGTGTATGTATTACGACATCAGTTGGCTTAAAGTCAGGGTACGGTGGGACAATGCAGGGTACGCAGCGACATATTGTATAGTACCCCGAGGTACCGGTACTTAATTTCCGATATATCGAACCGTACCCATGGTACCATCCGATAGTACCCTGGGGGACATAGACCCTATTAGCCGAAGTAACAGTGTGAATATTTTTAATTAATTTCTGTTCGGTGCTTATTGCACTCTAGTGCCGAATTTCAGCGGAAAAAAAATGCAAAAAAGCCTCTTATAGAGACGAAATAGTGCAACATCGGGGAACAATTTGCAGAGGTTTACTGTTGTATGGCTCCTTTACATTCATGCAGAGCGTAGCAAGAGGGCGCTGTCGACGGTACCACGCAGCAGCACGACCGCCAGGAGGCGCCACTACATACGAATGCGACGAACTGGTGGCGGATCGGAAAACAAAACAAAATAGAACCAAACGCAACCAGCAGATAAAGTGCTAGAGCAGCTGGGAGAACTGTACGTGGGGCTGGTGTTGAATGACATCCACCACTACACTCACGTTTTCATTGGTAAGCAGGAGTAGAGAGAAAGGGGAGGGAGGAGAGAAAGAGAGAGGGGGGAAGAACTGTTTAAGGGGCTTCCAGGATTTTCTCTCTTGTATGAGCGTGGGCGTGTCTCGAGTCTACTGGAGAGAGTGCATCCATATCCACACGTTTAACGTCTGACTATGGTCTGACGAATAAGCCAGTTCGTAGTTACGCATTGAGCATGCACGAGATTCTGGAGTGAACTTTTGCCAAAAGGTCAATAAACCGCTCGCTGTGTCTCCGTTCCGTGTCACAGGCACTTGGAGCGTTTCAATAAAATATAATGCTAAATAAATATGAAATCTATTTACTACCAAAGTCTTAATGTTTCTATACTCTCTTTCACCTATTATTGCCGACAATTTTCTGTAAATGCCGTCCAAATGCTCATCTACAACAAACACTGGCTGCCGCCAAGCGCCATTGCTGCCGCTGCACACTGACACTTAAATATATATATATATATAATATAATATATATATAATATATATTCAAGTGTTCCGCGTGATAGCAAGTGGAACCGTACGTAGGCCTACTGTATTAGTCCGTATGTGTTGTACATATGTGTTGTATATATCTATGATTTGTCCAAGTTTGAAATAAAATCACATTCAACCAAGATTTGCCCAATATAGAATGTGTGTAAACTTCAATATATATTTATACATGTAGAAGAAATACATGTTATTTGTTCCATTTTGTTGTCTGTTACATAGTTGATAAATGGGAAAATGCTTGGATATAATTGATATCCTGCCTTTTAGGTATAGGGATACATGTTTATAACGGACCCATGGAATGATTTCAGTACTAATTATGCCAATAACGTAAAGATGCATATGTGAGCAACTTTCGAGTTTACCTAGTAGCTATTTGTACACATGAGAATTAAGACATTCTAAAACTATTTTAAGTCCATCATTTATTGAAATGTTTCCTTAACATTTTTCATCCTCAGGAAAGTTTTTGTAATTGTCATCATGAACATCTGACGTCTCCATCACCATTTTCTCCTTGCATCATTCATACACATGCAGTTACATCTCATTCTCAATTATATACTTAATAAAGCAACGAACATTCAATAATTAAATAGCATTCATTAATAAACATAACATTGTTTGAATGCATACTATTTCAGCTATTAGTATTTTGATTACAATATATGTCCATACTATGCCAGCTAAAATACCATTTACACATGAAACAGGAGTCACGCATATATTTTTTATTATTAATATCAAATGGTACTGAAATTAAAGGTTTTCATAGATATTAATAAGAAGAAATATAAGAAATTATGATACATGTTTATTCCCTGCTGTCTCTAAAATGGAAACGCATTTATTTCATTGTTATTTTTTAAACTTGCTACATTATAAATTATCCCATTTGCAGGTTTCATACAAGTATACACGTACACAATTTCCCCATTTTCACTGCTTTAATTGCTTGTACAATGTATTTAGAGGTTAACATTACTCCTTGTTCATATACATGTAGTTAGATGTGCATTAAACATGAAGCAATATATATGCTTTGCAAGTTAATTACATGTATGTCTGAGTGTGCATTTCTGTTGTATTAGAATTAAGAAATCCAGGGAGCGAAAAGACATCCATAAATAAATGATATGACCGACACTGACTGAACTGACTGCAGTTAACTGACTGACCGAGAAGAACCGACACTGTATATCTACCTAAAATACCCCACAATGAATATCATACACACTTAAAAATCCAAAAAACAAAAAGCACAGGCGGATAGTCGATCGGTTCAGTACAGAAAACAAACGCAGGCACGATTTTACATAGCTTCTGTATAACATTCATGCATATTATGTAGTATACGGCAAGTGTGTACGAGCGAGCGCGCGATCCAACTTTTCAGCTATGTACAAATGACCTATGACCCGATGACGTAATCGGGCTCCAGTGCGTAACTACGAACTGGCTGATTAACTGTTTAATTAGTGGAATGTCAGTCACATCACTTCTGATTGCATGGACATCGCCTTTCAGGATTTCTTCTCCCATACAAGCCTGAGTGTACGTCACCGGAGTCTACTGGAGAGAGTGCGTCCGTATCCACACGTTTAACGTCTGACGAATTAGCTGTTTAACCCGCAGACCCGTCCATCACATCCCTCACGATTGATTGTACACGGCTTTTCTTCGATGCGACTGCGTGCGCTTGTGTTTCGAGAGCGCGCTCGAGGATACGAACCTGAAAGAGCAGATGTCACACGTGTACGGTTTCTGCCCCGTGTGCGTGCGCGCGTGCCTCTTGAGATCGCTGGAGGTGGTGCAGGCGGAGCCGCATATGTCGCAAGCGTACGGTTTCTCACGCGTGTGCGTGCGCGCGTGTCTCTTGAGACTTGCCGGCTGTGAACACCTGTACTCGCATACATCGCACGCGTACGGTTTCTCTCCCGTGTGCGTTCGCATGTGAGACCTCAGGCTGCAGCGGGAGCAAGTCCTGTACTCGCACGCGTCGCACGCGTACGGTTTCTGGCCCGTGTGCGTGAGAAAGTGCTTCTTGAGGTCGCTGGAAGTGGTGTAGGCGGAGCCGCATATGTCGCACGCGTAAGGTTTCTCTCCCGTGTGCGTGCGCGCGTGGGTCTGGAGATTCCCCAGCTGAGAACTGCTGTACTCGCATACATCACAGGCGTACGGTTTCTCTCCCGTGTGCGTGCGCGCGTGTCTCTGGAGATGCGCCGGCCGCGAACACCTGTACTCGCATACATCGCACGCGTACGGTTTCTCTCCCGTGTGCGTGCGTGCGTGCGCCTGTAAGCCACTGAGCCGAGAGCACCGATACCCGCACGTATCGCACGCGTACGGATTCTCTCCCATGTGCGTTCGCATGTGAGTCTTCAGCATGTAGCGGGAGCACGTCCTGTACTCGCACACGTCACACGCGTACGGTTTCTCCCCCGCTTCGCTCTGCCCGTCTGAGGGAGGAGGAGCAGGAGGAGAAGAAGACAGAGGAGGAGAAAGAGGAGCAGGAGGAGGAGAAGGAGGAGGAGGAAAAGAAGGAGCAGAAGAAGAAGACGGAAGAGGAGCAGAAGAAGCAGGAGCAGGAGAAGGAGCAGGAGAAGAAGGACGAGGAAGAGAAGGAGCAGGAGAAAGAGAAGGAGGACGAGAAGAAGCAGAAGAAAGAGGAGAAGGTTCCATCGAGCGGGCGGTGATCGAGATCACGATTGCTCCCCGATGCAGGTTCTTCTCTCACTTTACTCCCCGATGCAGTTTCCTGTCCCACTTTCCTCCCCGATGCAAATTCCTCTCTCACTTTCCTCCCCGATGCAGGTTCCTCTCTCAGTCGTCCGCTTTCCTGTGGACAAAAAATAGAGAGCACGGATAACTTCCCCTGCCTCACAGAGATGAAGTCAGATTCGTTTGCTGCGGGCATGGCACTAAAAATCACGAGTTATACTTAATAGGACAGGACTACACAACAAAGAGTGAACTTTTCAAAATTTTTGTGTGTAGCAGGTTTTTCAGAGTATAGATACACGTGAACTCGATGGAGTCACGTGACCAAATCACCACGGTAACGGCAACATTACGCATAGACATTTCAAAAGTCAATCACTATAGTGATTTGTTGATTGAAATATCTACAGGAAGTGAGAGACTATATATAAGCAAGAGGCATCTATAGGCAATTGTTGTTGCTTTTCTTTAATTTAAAATAATAATTTCGAGAATTCTCCAGTGTTTTCCCCACTTTTACAACACTTACCGTTCTAGAGTAACGATAAAATGTCTTAGAACCTTCGTATTCACCAAAACATGCAATTTTCGAACTAGTTTGGCAAACAAACGTTTGTTGTAATCTTAGGACTAGTGTCGATAGGTCTTCTCAGCTAATAGCGCCACCTATCTGCCATAGACATACAATCAGTGTTCGAAATTCACGTCGACTCGTCGGCCTGCCGCCGACAGTTTCGATGCCGGGCATACAGCTTCTTGATACAACAGGCCCGCTGATCCTACAGCTATTTGATCACCGAAAATTCGAAACACTGAGAAACTGTTACCTGTAGAAATCAGTTCATGCATATTAACTTCCAGGGGTATTTATTTGAAAACTAACCCGTGATAAACCGTGGCATACATGTAAACAATGCTTTCGCCCACTGCATATTGACTGCCCACTGCAATCAACTTTAGTTGGCATTCAAGAAACGTGCGTGGGATGTTCGGACGCACAGGTTAGCACAGGTTCCTGAATCCAGTAGCAGCGTTGGCATACCAAAAATCTATAAGAAGATTCCGGTGCCCGTCTGCTTTGTGGAATGCCAAGTCGGTGCACAGTTTGCGTAGTCGCTAGAGTTGAATAGAATGATTTACATTGAATAAAATTGCATTCGCCTATGCGAAACTGGATATTCTATGTGATCAATAAAAAAAAATTAAAAAATCGCACGTCGAATACGATTTCTCGGTAATTTAGAATGCCACATGATCGGACATAAAAAACGGGTCAAATTTTGCATTGGATTTAATAATTTTCTGAAAATAAAAAGGCTTTTTTGTCAAATTTTTGATGCTAAACGAACGCGATATGTCTTGTTGTCTGCTATGACAAAAATTAGCACTCGGAAGCAATCAGTCATTTTTTTATAGTGATTGAAGTGGCTGTGGGAATTGCCACCAGGCGGCGCTATCACATCATAGTGCTATTGGTAGACGTTCTATTTACACGCTCCAACAATGATGGCTGGAAGCAATTTTTATCATATCTTAAGAATAGGCATTTACGCTTCATTTGGAATAGAATTTGTGCAAAGGCGACAGTCAGTTTCGGAGATTAGGCGAATCCAAGTTGGTTCACCCAACAAAAATCATCGCTTTCATTGTTCCACTTTGCTGCGGATAGACACTATTGGCGAAGCGATCGACATCATGGACCGTTTTTATACTAAGACTTGTTCTAATAAAACAATACATCTGGGACAAGTTTATTTCAAGGCTGTAACTCATGCAAAATTCTTCTAGCTGATGCTTGAATGGGTGCAACAGACAGTCAGATGGACAAATACTGGGCCACAGAGTGTTCAGCGTAGCCACGAAAGTCACTTTTCACGCAATAAACAATGCTAATTAATTCGTGGCATACACGAATGTTGTATGAGAATTGTTACCCAAGCATCATTCTTGAATTCGCAGTGTATCTTTATGCCGGTAATTACGCTGCGTGCCGATATATCGATTCCTATAGGCCTCCTTGGGTGGTAGTTGCAACGACTGGCAATCATACAATCATGCGACCTCAGCTCCCTAAAAATATCATAGGATTGACATTCAATGACAGAATTAGAAAGAAAACCTGATACAATGATACAAGTATAACGTCTTAGCAGTAGAATTTAGCAATAGCAGGACTATTCGCAGACTATTAGCCGCGACAATAAGATTTAACGAAAGCAGGGTATACTTTGACTGTGTCTGTCTGTGTGTGTGTGTGGGGGGGGGAGGGGTTAACAAGGGTTAGGGATAGGGTTAAGCCTAGTATTGCCATGACTAAAATTTGACCGAGAGCTAGGGTTAAGTACAGTATTGACGTTAGTATTACGAACTAGAATGCATTCGTTATTTGCAATCAAAAATTTATATTTGCTAAATGTGCTAGCTGTTCTTTCACTACAACATGTCGCCAGATTTGTTCTCAACTCACACATTAACTTCTCCGAGTCCAAGGGATTCACATCTTCCAATATGGTTCTGAAGCCTGCGTTATTCAAAATAGCTATTTTTCAAAAATTTTCAAATTAGGTAGAGGTTGACGACAAGGAGATCCGATCTCCCCCTACATCTTGATCCTCTGTGTGAAAATTTTGGGCATTGCTATTAGAAACAACAACAAGAGCCGCAGAGCGTCTGGGCTCATCTGAGGTCTGTTGCTACGGTTATAAACGTAACATTTAAGTCGTGCG